ATGTAGACGCAATAATCCTAAACAAAATAATAACAAACTAAACCCAGTAAGAAAAAGAATTCATAGAGATCAGGTTGAAATTATTCTAGAATCACAGATTTAAAGAAGTTAAATCACCACGTAACAGAAAAATCCCATGACTGTCTCAAAAAATGCAGAAAACACGTTAAGAAATTTAATAACCACTCTGGATTTTTAAAAAACGTTTAGCAAACTAAGAATGGAGCAGAATTTTCATATTTTAATGAAGAATATCTACAAAAAACCTACATAACTATCACATCTAAGGGTAAAATAGTGAAAGCTTTCCCTGATACTGAGAACAAGACATGGATACCCAATCTCACCACTTCTTTTTTTTTTTTTGTCTTTTTCCGTGTCCGGCAACGGATCGCAACCCTCAGTGTCGCCCCCGTACCGGACCAGGACCAGCAACGGGATCGCAACCCTCGGTGTTGCTCCCCTGCCTCGCTCAGCCAGTGAGCGGGAAACGGTCCGTATGCGGGATCTGAACCCTCGGCGGGGGCGCCGCCGCGCTTCCCAAGCGGCACACTACAGCAGTGCGCCACCGGGCCGGCCCCCCAATCTCACCACTTCTATTCAACACTGTACTGGAGCTCCTAGCCATGCAATAGGGCAAGAAAAAAATGCTTACTTGGAAAGGAAAAAAAAAATAAAAGAAATTGCCATTATTTGCACACATAATTATGTACACAGAGAAAATACAAGAAGAATTATCAGAAATAAGTGAATTCAGCAAGGTGAATATGCAAAAAATCACTTCTATCTTTATATACTAGTAATAATCACAGAACTCAATTTTTTAAAAGATATAATTTATAATGGTATCAAAAAAAATCAAATACCTGTGAATAAATCTAATTAAAGATCTATAAGAACTATATGCAGAAAACTATAAAATATTAAGACAAATTAAAGAAGATCTAAATAAACAAAAGGCTATTTTGTGTTCATGAATTAGATCAACATTAAAAAGATGTCATTTCTCCCCACACTGGTCTATAGATTAAATGTAATACCAATTAAGATCCCAGCACATATTTTGGAGAGAGATTGCCAAGCGGATTCTAAAATTTATCTGAAAATGCAAAGGGCCAAGATTAGCTAAGGAAATCTTGAAGAACAAAGGTGGAGGACTTAAATGACCAGATCTCAAGATAAACTAAACCTATAGTAATTTAGACAGTTTGGTATTTGTGCAAAGATGATGAAAACAGGGCCGGCCCGTGGCTCACTTGGGAGAGTGTGGTGCTGACAACACCAAGTCAAAGGTTAAGATTCCCTTACCAGTCATCTTTAAACAAAAAAACAAAAAACAAACAAAAAAAAAGATGACGAAAAGATCAATGGAGCAGAGGAGAGTCCAGAAACAGACCCACACACTTACAGTCACTTGACTGTGATGATAGAGATGACAATGCAGTGCACTTAGGAACTCAGGAAATGGTGGTCTTTTTAATAAATTATGCTGGGTCAAGGGGACAGGTATATTTATAAAAAAAAAAAAAAAAAAAAAGAAAGGAATGTTGGCCCCTATCTTATCACACCATAAACAAATCAATTTCAGATGGAAGGTAAAACAATAAAGCTTTTACAAAAAATATAGGATAATATCTTCATGAACCTGCAGATTTCTTAACCAAAACACAAAGAGCATTAAGCGTTACCAGAAAAAAAAATTACTGAAAGGATTAACCAAAGGCAAACACAAGCATATGAAGACAATGTACCATACACGTATTTACTTCGAATATATTAAGAACTCTCTCAAATCAATAAGAAATGAAACAGACAACCCAGTCAACAAATGGGCAAAAGACAATCATTCCACAAAAGAAGACATTCAAATGGCCAATGAACACATGCGGGGAAGCTCTCTCTCTGCAGGTTATCAGGCAACAGCAAATTCAAGCCATACTGAGCCTACCTCCCACTAAATACCCTCCAGAACAGCTAAAATTAAAAGAATGGGCAATACCAAGTATTGGAGAACATATGAACAATTTACCGACCTCTCACACAGTGCTGGGTGGTAGTACAAGCTGCCACACCACTTTTGGCAATATCCACCAAGGCTGAACAAATGCACACACTATCACCATGCCATTCTATTCCTTTGTACACACCCAGCAGAAATTTATTGATCTATCTATTTATTTATTTAAAAGATGACCAGTAAGGGGATCTTAACCCTTGACTTGGTGTTGTCAGCACCACGCTCACCCAAGTGAGCCAACTGGCCATCCCTATATGGGATCCGAACCCGTGGCCTTGGTGTTATCAGCACCACACTCTCCCAAGTGAGCAAACCGGCCATCCCTATATAGGATCCGAACCCGTGGCCTTGGTGTTATCAGCACCGCACTCTCCCAAGTGAGCAAACCGGCCATCCCTATATAGGATCCGAACCCGTGACCTTGGTGTTATCAGCACCGCACTCTCCCGAGTGAGCCACGGGCTGGCCCTCCAGCAGAAATTTAGACAAAGCACCAAAAAACAAGCAAGAATATTCAGGATAGCACTTGCAAAAACTGGAACAACCCCAATGTTTGAGAATGGTAGAAAGAATAAACGACATTACGTAACATATACTCGTCCATTAGATCACCAGACAGCAGATGAGAATGAGAACCGCTAGATGAGACAACACAAACAAGTCTCACAAATACAATGCTGAGTGAAAGAGCCAAGAAACAAAACTATTATTTTATTTTGTTACATAAAATAAAGAACAGGCAAAAGTAATCAATGGTTTAAAGTCAAGACCATGGTTGGCTTTTAGGGACTATCACTGGGAGCAGGTGGGAAGCTTGGTGACGTTCTGTTTCTTGATCCAGGTGGTGGTCATGCGTGTATGTTAACTTTGTGAAAAGCTCACCGAGATGTACACTTATGATTTGTGAATTTTTCTGATGTATGTTACAGTGAAATTTTTTAAAGTATACTCTGACTTGCCTACACAACATGCCAGGAGTGCAAATGTACTTACCTGACTCACATGCCTATCTGGTCACACTATTAGCCACCAAAGATGAGCCACATTCCAGGAAAGGGAAGGGTCCAAAACAAGTTTCCTTAATGGTTCCTGTGTTTGTGAAATGCTGGCATCAGGCGCTCCAGTGGCGATATGAACCGCTGGCACACTCACATTACCCACTGCACCGGGCAATGCCAGGCTACTCCACTGGGCAGTAGCTAGAAACAAATCACTAAACAACCCACTCTCCAGTGGGCATGGCAACCCCCATTGCCTGACACTAACTGTGCAAAACTCCTGTCACTTTGCTGACATGTCCTGTGCACCCACTCTTTCCAAAACTACCTGATCTTTTTTTTTGTTCATTGTTTTGGCAGCTGGCTGGTATGGGGATCCGAACCCTTGGCCTTGGGGTTAGAACACCACACTCTCACTCACTCAAAACTGCCTTATCAAATAAATATTTGATACACTTCAGCATATGTCTCTTAAATTACATGAAAACAAATACAGTAACAGAAACCCAAAACTATCAATAAGATTTACAAATACAATAAAATCCCAGTAAAACATAAGTTGGCCAATCCTTTTAAGCTTGTCTTAATAAAATATGACCCAAACTTGGTAATTTATAAGATTCAACTGAGAAAAACCTTCATAATTCCCTAACCCAACAACAAAGGAACATATAGCACTAACATCAAATAATTGCTAAAAAGGAAATCCAAATGTTTAGCTTTATCAATCTTTCAGGAGAGTTGACTATAGCCAAGAAATGCATTAAGGCTAGTAATTATTCATTTACTAATTTATCACTGCAGATTCATCATAAGAGTATAAATGTAGGCTTATTCAGCTCTACCTGAATGCACCATAAAGGCACCTATTATGAATAAGTAACACGGCATCTAGACAGCTCGTAAATACCTAAGTACTTATCTCCCACTATGCCTTACACTTTTCTAGTTCTAACATTCTCCTTTCACCTACTATTAAATCCTCATTCAATTCCATAAGAAAAGGCTTTGAAACACTGGTCCAAATGCAATTTACTTGGAGAAACAAGTTCAGTTGCTCTAAGGTTTTAAATTCTAAGCTATAAAATTCCTGTCTGCCAATGAGAAAGTTCCTAAGGAATTAATCTCCAGTTTTCTATCCCCTAAAGCAAATTTGATTTACCAAACACAGGTGTTCTGATAAAGGCAGGCTGTAGAAACATTTTTTTCTATGAAATCACTTCTATTTGTCTATTAAATTTTGATAAGAAATTGGAAATACATGAGCTACAATCCATAAGATACAATCTGTGGGAAATACACATTTAGCAAAAGGTTTAAGACAACAGAATGAAAGGTACCACATAGCCTGACTCCTGCATGGCCCTTTTTCAAACACTTTGGAGCACTCTCCCAAATCTAGGCAGTCCCCAAAGACAAGAATGAGAGTAATGAGGTTAAATCACTTATCTGATGTTAAGAAAGAAAAAAAAAAGGGAGAGAGAGAGAGTAATGAGGTATTTTCACATGACTTTAGAGTACAAGTTTGTTCTCCCAAAGAAGTTTAATCCCCTAGGAACTTTGTAAGTGACTCACAAACACCAGAAACCATCAATTCACAAATGGTTGCGCAAAATACTCATCCAAAATGTGAGGATACTTTTAAAAGTTCACGGAAAAGGGGCCGGCCCGTGGCTCACTAGGGAGAGTGCGGTGCTGATAACACCAAGGCCACGGGTTTGGATCCTATATAGGGATGGCCGGTTGCTCACTCACTGAGCGTAGTGCTGACAAAACCAAGCCAAGGGTTGAGATCCCCTTACTGGTAATGAATGAATGAATGAATAAATAAAAGTTCACGGAAAGATTCCTATTACCTTTCAATTCTATTTTTCCACAAACTTTTTGAAGTACCCCAGTATTAAAAAAAGATGACACCACAAAAAAATTTAGCGGAAAAAAAATCTGTAGAGATCTGTAGAGTTTCAGGTTAAAAGCACTCATACCTGTGGAAGTGCAGTATTGAGCTGTCTCTGCAAGGAATCTCTTTCATGACCAACTTCGTGTAATTTCCCCTGGGTTAATGCCAGCGTTTCTTGAGTCTCTCTAAGAGTGTCAAGAAGTCGGTCCCTTTCTTCTAGCATGGAGACCATCAACTGTTCAAAATGTGAATCTGCGTCTGCCTGTGAAGGGGAGCCGGATGCATGGCTCCCACTTCCTCCTGGGGAGCCTTCGGCTTCACTGATGGTTGGCATCACCTCACACATCATCTGGAAATGAAAGACCCAGACTAGAATCATTAAAAGCAGAATACAGGTTCCCATAAATCTGCAATTTCATAAGTATTTGCCACTAATAAATGAAAGGTTCACAGCCTCTTTATTCTCAGATCTGTTACACTTTGTATGCAAATAAGTTGGGAAAGCATACACAGGCAAATATTAAGTGCAGGAACACACACCATGAAGATACTCACAGGGACAATAACCCCGTGAAGGGGTCAAGACCAGAGGACTGCCCCTCACATAAAGAGCAAACCCAGCAGTATTTTGTTCGCAAAGCTGTACTTTTTAGTTGTTGAGAACAAGTGTGCTTCAGGTACCTATTTTTCCAATTTCCCGGTGGGGAGAGAGCAAGTCAAACACACACGCCACCCAGTCACTTTTCAGAAAAAGCATAGAAGGAGCACAGAGCCAGCAAAGCTGACAAGTACAAAACCCATCGGGCACCTTCCAGGAATGTGTGCAGTCAGCTCCTGGGAAGGACTGACGGCTCCCTGAATGCTTGGGCTGGATTTGGTGAGCACTAAAGGAACGGGACTCGTGAAGGGTTGGGAGAGGTGTTCTCCAATGGTTGGTCAGTCACCCTGACTTACCTAAGTTTACAGGCCAAAATAAATTCCACAATGGAAATCGAGCAAGCAGGTCCGGACAGCCGGGACGGCTAGGAGGGAAGTAAAAGTGATCGGGGAGTCGAGAGGCGATGAAGTGTCGCCAACACACAGATGGGGCGAAGGCAAGGGCGCCGCTCCCGAGGCTCCGGGCCGCACTCCGGGCACGACGGACCCCCGGCACCCCTCACGGTGAGGCTGACCCCCGGCCCAGCCGCGCCCCGCTCTCTCCTCCCGAATCAGGTGCTGCAGAAGCTGTGGCCACCAGGGCACTGATGACCGTTTCCAAGGAGCCGGCTGGGGTTCTAGAAGCCACAGGTCATTGACCTCGCGTGGGGTCGGGGGAAGGGCGGCGCGTGGCCCTTAGAGCACGTCCCTTCGGCACC